GGCGGGGTTGTGGTGGCTGCCTGCCCCAGGCCCTTCCCGCGCCTAACACCGTCTCTCACTGCTCACTCCTGCAGACGTGAGGAACGATGAACTGGGCCGGCCTCTACACAGTGCTGAGTGGGGTGAACCGCCACTCCACCGCCATCGGGCGCATCTGGCTCTCTGTCATCTTCATCTTCCGGATAATGGTGCTGGTGGTGGCAGCCGAGAGCGTCTGGGGGGACGAGAAGTCTGCCTTTACCTGCAACACCCAGCAGCCCGGCTGCAACAGCAGACGTGAGGAACGATGAACTGGGCCGGCCTCTACACAGTGCTGAGTGGGGTGAACCGCCACTCCACCGCCATCGGGCGCATCTGGCTCTCTGTCATCTTCATCTTCCGGATAATGGTGCTGGTGGTGGCAGCCGAGAGCGTCTGGGGGGACGAGAAGTCTGCCTTTACCTGCAACACCCAGCAGCCCGGCTGCAACAGTGTCTGCTATGACCACTTCTTCCCCATCTCCCACATCCGTCTGTGGGCCCTGCAGCTCATCCTTGTCACCACACCAGCCCTCCTCGTAGCCATGCACGTGGCCTACCAGCAGCACCAGGAGAAGAAGCTGCTGGTGCTGACAGGGCATGGGGACCCCAAGCATATGGAGGAAGTTAAGAAGCACAAGATGCGCATATCGGGTTCGCTGTGGTGGACATACGTCTGCAGCGTGGTCTTCAGGCTGCTCTTTGAGGCCGTGTTCATGTACATCTTCTACATGCTCTACCCAGGCTACCAGATGGTGCGGCTGGTCAAGTGCGAGGCTTACCCCTGCCCCAACACCGTTGACTGCTTCATCTCACGGCCCACTGAGAAGACTATCTTCACTGTCTTCATGCTGGTCACCTCCAGCATCTGCATCTTCCTCAACATGGCGGAGCTGGTCTACCTGGTGGTGCGGGCCTGTGCCCGCCGCGGCCAGCACAACTCCAATCCCCCGTCGGGGAAGGGCTCCTTCTACGGGCAGAAGCTCTCCGAGTACAAGCAGAATGAGATCAACCAGCTGCTGACGGAGCAGGACGGCTCGCTCAAGGACATGCTGCGCCGCAACCCTGGGCTGCAGGAGAAGGGCGACCGCTGCTCTGCCTGCTAGGGCCAGTGCCCTGGGGGGTCCAGCCCTTGCCCCCACCCCACAGCTGCCCCATGGCCCTGTGCTGTCCCTGTCCCATGGATAGCATCCCTCAGGTGCCAGTCCGGCCCTCACGGATGGCCAGGAGGGCATCTCGGGCCATTAAATCTCCATTCTCAGGTGCTGCCTCCCTCCTTTCTGCTCTGGCTGGGACATGCTGGGTGTTGGGGTGCCGGTGTGGGGTGCCCACCCCTGCACCCTAGCCCACGTGGGTGTCACCAGGGGCTGTGGTGGTTGCAGTGCTCGGGCCAGGCTGTGGCCATGGCTGCGGTGCCCTGGCAGCCGGCATGCAGGAGCAGTGACCCCTGTGTGGCATTGAGCAGTGTCCAAGGGCTCGCACTCCCCCAGCACCAGACCCTGCAGCCCCAAATATATTTAGAAAAGTGCCCAGACCAAAAATAGAGGGAAAAAGTTTCCCCAGTGGCTTTTTTTTCTGCCAGTCACAGCAAAAGCCAATGGGGCACGCAGCTGCCTCCTGCCCCAATAACCCCACGCCCGCTGTCGGGTGGACTGTCGGATGGAGCCGGGTGGACCTGTCCACACCCCACCGAGGAGCCGGGGATCAGCCGGGAAGGGGCCTCGCAGCATCCTGCACTGCCCCGCCGAGCGGAGCTGACAGCACGGGAGCACTGGGCTCTGCCCCACGTGCCCGCCAACGGTGAGGGGTCCCCATGCCGGATTGCCACCACGGTGTCCTCCACCAGTGTGGTGGGGCTGCTTTCTGCCAGAGGCCTTTGCGCCTGCTGCCTTCTCCGCAGCAAGTTAGGGGGTCCCATGGGACACAGGGTGGGGATGCTCCAGGGACAGCCCCGGGTTGGCTCCCTGCATGCCCGCCTGGCTGGGGGATGGGGGGATGGTTTGGCGGGTCATGGGGTGGCCGTGTCTGGAGGGCGGCTGTCTTGCAGGGCACCGCAGCGTGTGCCATGGGGGACTGGACCCTGCTGGGGAGGCTGCTGGAGAGCGCCCAGGAGCACTCCACAGTGGTGGGCAAGGTCTGGCTCACCGTCCTCTTCGTCTTCCGCATCCTGGTGCTGGGGGCAGCCGCCGAGCGGGTCTGGGGTGACGAGCTGTCTGGCTTCTCCTGCGACACGCAGCAGCCCGGCTGCCAGAATGCCTGCTACGACAGCACCTTCCCCATCTCCCACCTCCACTTCTGGGTCCTGCAGATCATCTTCGTCTCTACCCCCAGCCTAGTATACCTGGGCCACATCCTGCACCTGGTGCATCTGGAGGAGAAGGCACAGCAGCAAGCGGCGGCATGGGCCAGCAGCAGGGCCAGGCGGCAGCGCCCCAGGCAGCCCCGGCTCCCTGCAGGGAACGTGCAGGGACAGGTCTGCATGCGGGGGGCCATCCTGAGGACGTATTTCTGCAACGTCATCTTCAAGGCTCTCTTGGAAGTGGGCTTCATTGTGGGCCAGTACGTCTTGTATGGGTTCCAGCTGAAGCCCCTCTACACCTGCAGCCGCTGGCCCTGCCCCAACACTGTCAACTGCTTCATCTCCCGACCCACCGAGAAGACCATCTTCATCCTCTTCATGCTGGGGGTGGCCTGCGTGTCCCTGTTGCTCAACCTGGTGGAGATCTACCACCTGGGTCTCACCAAGTGTCGACAGGTGCCAGGCCCCAAGTCTCATGTCCTGCCCAGTCCTGGTGGCCCCATGGGGCCCTGCAGCACCCATGTCACCCTGCCCAGCAGTGGCAGCTCTGTGGCTGCTGGCAGAACCCCCCATGGCCTGGTACCCCTGGGGAAGGCAGGTGCATGGCTGGGGGTGGCCAGCGGGTCCCACAGGAAGACACGAGCAGCAGACCTGGCAGTGTGAACGTAGCCTGCCTGGATGCTCAGGGATGGGGGACGCATGGGCAGCCACAGTTGTGGTTCTGTCTCCAGGCCCTGCCAGACTCGTGGCATGGACCCCACGGCCAGCGCGAGAGATGGGCATGGCCCTGGGGACACGGCTCGGCTGCTCCCCATGCTCCTGGGAGCAGCAGGGGCTGAGAGTAGGGTCGGGCTGGGGCAGGGGCATGTCAGCCCTGGGGGAGCAAATAAACACCCACTGCACCTCACTCGACTCCTGCTCTGCCCACAGACACCGCGGCATTGCTCTCTGACTGGTCCATCCCCTGGAAATGTTGCGTGGCCAGGGCTGCGCCACCGCCGGGTTGGGTGGGGCTGCAGGTGGGCAAGCCACACCAGGTGGGAAAAGCAGGGGCTGCCAGAAGTTTTCTGCATCTTTATTTGAAATGAATGGTTTCCAGAGACACAGGGTTAGTCCTACTGCCCTGGCATCACTACAACAAGACTGGTGAGCGGCTCACTCTCCACATGGACACAGAGAACAGATGGCCCCAGGCCAGGGCCCAGAACAATATATACAGGCTCAACAGGAGACCCATGATACAACTCAAGAAAACTGACCGGAACACGAGGAGGGGCAGGAGGCAGCAGGTAGCGGCACAGCCGGAGCCAGGCTTGCCCCAAGCAGGGTGCTGGCACCCTGCTGCTTTGGGAGAGGGAGGCCAGGCAGCTCCTTGCTTCTGACAGTGGCAGCCTGAGCCGCTGCCAGAGCGGAGGGCACCCACCAACGGCACCTTGCACCAGGGAGGCGGCTTATGCCAGGATGGGTGACAGTGGGGAGAGAGGTGCAGCACTGGCACAGACCCGTCTCCATCAGTTTTCTGCCAACTCAGAAAACACTGACAAAATTGAGGGAGGGGGCCCGGCTGCTTACAAGGGGGGCATCCCTGCAGCAAGACCAGGTCGCTGCCCTCACGTTCCAGCACTGTCTCCCTCTGCTCCCCACAGCCAGCCTAAACCTCTCCCACTCCTGGGAACAAGCCCTCTCCCTGACCCAAGAGCTCTCACCCTGCCAGCAGTGCTTCCCACTTGCTTGGAAACACCATCCTGCTGCAGCAACAGAGCTACATTACTGCTGTGCCACCTGCAGCCTTGTCAGGGGATGCTAAAGGAAGGGGCAATTAAAAGCCTCGGGGCCACTGGTCCTAGACATCACTGCCATATTGTGCGGTTCCTGCCCCAGGGCATGGGTAGAGGGGGGTAGTGTCAGGGCTGGGGGTAGAGGGGGACTGGGCTGGGTAAGGGGAGCTGCCCAGGGGCTCTGCCACCCCTGTGCTGTGAGGACTGGCCCCGGAGAAGACGGCTCACCCAGCAGCCAGGACGGGAGGCAGGGCTGAGCGTGGGGGCCATATATGTAGGAGAGGCCTGTAACGAGCAGGATGGGATGTCCAAGTCCGGTAACGATGAAGCGACAGCACTGCCGCAGCACTGTCCCCTCCCGCGCTGCACGGACCCTGCCCTGCAGTGGAAGGCAGGGAGACAAGGCGTCCAGGGCTGGAGCACAGCCAGCCCGGCAGCACCTCACTCTTAGTCCATGTCGTCCTCCAGGCCACTGAGCCGACTGTGCTCCTCGTAGATCTCCCTCACGGCCAGGATGCG